ATCACTGGACCTCACCTTACCTAGGTCACCTGACTTCCTTCCCCTACATATTGTTTATTTCTGGTCTCTGCATTTATTTTTTTTTAAAAGCTCTCAATAGAAAAACAACATTTCCTAATTAAGTGTCCTAAGTTTTACATTTATATCTATTCCACACTTTGCTAGTGTCGTCATACTTGTACGGTGGAATCTTGGTTTTCGTATGCCCTGGCTTTCATAGGATTCGGTTTTTGACGACTTTTTTCGTCGAAACTTTGTCCCAGTTTTCGTACATCCACTTGGTTTTCACAGAGTTGACAATGGTCCACCGTACTAAATGTGTCCACCTGCCCTCGCCCACACAGAATGTATGGGCCAGAATGTGTCCTCAAGAAGGATTTTGAAGGGTTTGAGGCTGACCCTGACAACCCTACACCTATTATGGAATCTACTGTGTCTTTGGGACAGTCCATGGGGTTGGATGTGAGTGGCCAGGATGTGGAATAGTTGGTGGACAATCACAGGGAAGAGCTAACCACTGAAGAGCTGCAAGACCTACAACTTGAACAGCAACAGATCACAGCTGAGGAAATCGCTTCAGAGGAGGAAGAGGAGAGAGGGGAGAATGTGCTTTCTTCAGTGATTAAGGACATGTGTGCAAAGTGGGATGAGCTGCAAAGTTTTGTGGAGAAATATCACCCTAACAAAGCTGTTGCAAGCTGTGTCTGCAATATGTTCAATGACAATGCCTTGTCCCATTTTGTGTGACAGGGGTCCAGTGGCTCTCAAGATGGTCCTAATGCCAGTAAAAGACAAAGAAGGGAAGTAACCCCAGATAGGGCCTTGATACCTGAAGGCCTTATGGAGGGGGATTCCCCTTCCAAACAATAACCTCTCCTCCTCCCTTTTCCTTCCTCGCTGTCTTCCAAATGTCAACAAGAGTCTTCAATAAAGGTAAAAGTGATGTTAAATGTTTATTTATCCATTAGTCATTTATATTTATTTCTCATTGTTTTCTGTATGTAAAGCTATAGTTATTCTCCATAAAATGTATTTTTGTTAATACTTTAGGGTGTCTGGAATGGATTAATTGGATTTACAATATTTCTCATGGGAAATACAGTGGTCCCTCAATAATCGTCCGGCCTGAAAGTCGTCGATTTTGGAAATAGTCCTGTTTTTTCATCAAAATATTGGCTCGCAAATGGTCCGGTAACTCGCTAATACGTAGTTCTAATAGTCCTTTGTCCCAGATGCGTACTCACGCTCTGAGCCGCCTCGGCCTTTCCTTTCCAGCCAGTGTGCCATTGTTTACCAGTGAGTGACGGTCCCCTCACATGCTCCTACGAAATATTTCATAATATTCCATTGATTTTAGTGCTTGCAAGTGCTAAATAAGCTACCATGGCTCCAAATAAAGCTTCTAGTGCCATCCCTTTGGTAAAGAATGTGAGAAACACATAATTTATGAAAAAGTTTGTAGAAAAATACAAAGATGGTGGTGGTAGAGTGGAAGCAGTTGTGATAGTGGTTGATGAACATAAGAAAGGAGGATCACTGCAGCAGGCCTGTTGGCCCATACTCATTTGCAAGTCCCAAATGAGTGGATAGAGTTATCAGAGCTTATTTCTTGGGTAGCATTGAGGACTGGGTTGGGAAAATGTTTCGTTAGTGGGATGAATTGTAGAGGACCTGCCGAGCATGGGCCAAGAGGCCTGCTGCAGTGATCCTCCTTTCTTATGTTCATCAACTAACTTTGTATTTTTCTACAAACTTTTTCATAAATTATGTGTTTCTCACATTCTTTACCAAAGGGCTGGCACTAGAAGCTTTCTTTGGTGGTAGTGATGGTGGTAGAAGGTAGTAGTGATGGTGGTAGAGGGTTCCTTCTTTAGTGATTCTACCAACTCCTCCAATGTTGTTGGAGTTATATAGGGCTACAAAAACCACCGCCGCCTCAGCTGCTGTTTCACCACCATTATGGACGGCTTACACTCAGTGGCCCTTATATACCCAGCAACAACACAACACCTCTCGTGACATACGTAATGACTTATTTTATTCATTCTAGAGTATATTCCATGTTTCTATGTTATTAATATTGTTTATTAGGTCATATTAGTTGAATTGTGATAGATAAATAAGCCATAGAGTTGATTTTTTTTATTATTTTATTATCACACTGGCCGATTCCCACCAACGCAGGGTGGCCCGAAAAAGAAAAACTTTCACCATCATTCACTCCATCACTGTCTTGCCAGAAGGGTGCTTTACACTACAGTTTTTAAACTGCAACATTAACACCCCTCCTTCAGAGTGCAGGCACTGTACTTCCCATCTCCAGGACTCAAGTCCGGCCTGCCGGTTTCCCTGAATCCCTTCATAAATGTTACTTTGCTCACACTCCAACAGCACGTCAAGTATTAAAAACCATTTGTCTCCATTCACTCCTATCAAACACGCTCATGCATGCCTGCTGGAAGTCCAAGCCCCTCGCACACAAAACCTCCTTTACCCCCTCCCTCCAACCTTTCCTAGGCCGACCCCTACCCCGCCTTCCTTCCACTACAGACTGATATTAGTGATATTTGATATTAGTGTCATATTCTCCAACAATAAACTTGCCATCCTTCCTTCACACAAACAAATAGCCAATAAGAACATAACAATGGAAGTACACTGCATGTCTACTGGCCCATACAAGGCAGGTCCTTATCAAAATGACCTCCACCCAAAGCTGCCCAAGAATTTACTCCCGTACCCAATGACACAAATCAAACTCAGCTCCTCCAACTCGTATATTTGTCCAATCTCTTCTTAAAGCTACCCAAGGTCCTAGCCTCGATCACCCTACTGGTAAGTGTGATGTTAAATAAGAACTTAAGAAAGTAGGAACACTGGAACAGGCCTGCTGGCCCATACTAGGCCAGTCCTTCACAAATCCAACCCACTAACAGAACAAATGCTACCCAAGCAATAAACTCAGGTGCAAGTCCGGCTCAAATCCAACCCCTCTCACTCGTGTATTTATCCAACCTAAATTTGAAACTACCCAATATTTTAGCTTCGATCACCCTACTAGGCAGACCGTTCCACTCATCAACTACCCCTATTACCAATGTTCATTTATACATTTTATTAGTGCCCTAGAGTCCTTATGGAGGGGGAGTCCCCTTCCAAATAACCTCTCTTCCCTCTCTCCTCCTCCCTGTCTTCCATTCATCAACAACAGCTTTCAATAAAGGTAACTGTCATGTTGAATGTTCATTCTTTTGTGCATGTAAATCTATCTTTCAGGTAAAAAAAAAATTGTTGTTGATACTTCTGGGTGTCTGGAATGAATTAATTGGATTACATTATTTCTTATGGGGAAAACTGATTCGAAAATCGTCCATTTCGATAATAGTCCCACTTCCAGGAACGGATTATGGACGATTATTGAGGGACCACTGTATTGCTTCAGTTTTCGTACAATCCGGTTTTCGTCAGAATTTCTGGAACGAATTAACCTCGAAATAAACCGAGGTTCCACTTATAGTACTGGTGTCTGTTTAGATACAAGTCATTTATTTACTTTAAATATAAGATAGAAGAGTGCCTGGACTTGCAAATTCATTGTGAGACTTAACCTTAAAGCACAGGAGAATGATATTCCTATAGTGTATCCACTGCAATTAGTATTGGCAAATATTATCTTCAGCTGGCCAACAATGGACATAGTACAGCATTTCCTCCACCAGCTGCTTCAATATTGGCCACTAATTAATTACAAATTTCAGCGCCTTAAAGAATGGGAGATTTGTATCCACTGCAATGATTGGAAAATGTTGTTTAATGTTTGCTAACAGATTTTTTTGGCATAAAAAATCAGCATCACCCAAAAAGTTTGTAGTGTAAATATTGCACACTCAAGTAAAAAAGTTGGAAATCTTATCCATATAAAATATGGTTTTGCAGTATAACTTTTACAAATTTATGAGCGAGAAGAGACGAGTTTGAAAAGGACGTACCTAGTATGAGCTGCAGAAATAAGACACGTGCACACAAACAAGGCACTTGCTAAAGTATATTTCACATATGGCTTCTTCAATTTTTATGTTAAAAGTTTTTTTTTTAAAAAAATAAAAACCTCTAGTAACAAAATATCTCCTTCAATAAATGACCTAATTGTGTATGTGTGTTTTATTCCCATAGGACATGCCTAGCATGGGCCAGTAGGCCTACTGAACTGATCCTTAATTCTTATGTGCAAATTAAGAATGTTTTAAGCAATGGGAAGGTCAAAGACAACAAATAAGTGTTTACAATACTGGACCTGAATTTGACATGCTGGCTTCAAATTTGTTTTTCAAAAATAAAAGATATTTGTTTCCTGTTTTATGAGATTAGCTTTTAGTAAAAATGTGGAACTTATCCACTCTGAAGTGTTCAGTTCAGGATAGTGAATTTTCAGGTTAACAAAGGTCATATCAACAGGATTCATCTGAACAAGCACGTTTAACAAAATGATTGATCCAACTAAATAATTCTGTTATAACAGTATGTAAAAAGTGTAAAAAAACCAAGAGGGTAATCCAAGGTACCATGACAGACAATAAAAAAAAAAACTTCAGCTTCCTGGTCAATGGGTCCCAGCACATAAATATAGAAGAAATATAGGCAAAAACTCTAGTCTCAGGATTCAGAGAGATCTGGTGCGAATGATGAGCATGGAAGAGAGGTGGCCCAGAGTGTACTGTTGGCTATTATAAAATTATTTTCATTACTGGACAGAATATAAAAGTTCATTTTTATATTTTCAATCATTGTGGCAATTCTTCATTAGAATAATATACAACAGATGTATCAATAAGTACAACTGACTAACTGGACCTCCAAAACTTAAAAAAATAACACTGGAGAGCAAGATACAGTACAATTACGCAAATTACTTAATGATAAGAAATTAATACAATGCCATCTTCCTTGTTCTCTCACTCACACCAAAGCTTTCAAGTTCCATGTACATACAGACGTACTACCTCAAGCGGAGAATTACAGAGGAACCTCTTAAACTGTGGTTCAGAGCACTTGCTTGGAGTGTCTCCATGGATCTTAATCTGGTACATTTCATAAACTTGATGAGCCATCTTGAACGTGTGCTGAAATTCGGCACTGCTTGGTTGTGAGCGAACTAATTTAACCTGGGTGTTTAACACAATATTAATTTATTTATTCATATTTTTTACAGTTTCCCACATTTAAAGTAGGGTAGCACACTCAACAATTAAAAAAAAAAAAACAGGTAACTGTCCATCTCAGATCTCCCGAATGTAAAAGATACGGTATGCTATACACAGATGGTATTGTTTTCATTTCCTGGACTAAAATTCATTCTTTATTGGATGGTTGGCCTCTTCTGTAATACTGAACAGTACTTGCATAATGGAATAGGAAAGAACAAAAGTCGTTAGAAGAACCTACATGTTAAATTTAATTACAGTACATTATGAACAGCAATATAAATAACTGCATTTCTGCTATTGAATATTACTAATTAGAATTTTTACAATGGATAAATATTTTATAGGTAGTAGGTTGGTAGACAGCAACCATTTGGGGAGGTACTACTGTCCTACCAAGTGTAAAAAGGAAGCCTGTACAGTGGTAGCCCGAGTTTCGAACTTTCTTCGTTCCAGAAGGCTGTTCGAGTGCTGTTACCGAACGAATTTCTTCCGATAAAGAATACGTAATGTAAATTAGATTAGTCCGTTTCAGACCCCCAAAAATACACTTACAAAAGCACTTACAATAATACACTTACATAACTGGTTGAAATGGGAGCAGTTCGAAACTCGGGGTACCACTGTATTTGTTTTAAATGACGGCAGGATTGGTGGTGTCTTTTTTCTGTCTCATAAACATGCAAGATTTCAGATACGTCTTGCTACTTCTACTTACACTTAGGTTACACTACACATACATGTACACGTTTATGTTCTGCGAGTGTGTGGGGAGTTTTGAACCAAGTGTGAGAGTACCTGCGGTCAGGGATTTCAATGCTAAAGTGGGTAAAAATATGGAGGGAGTAGTAGGTAAATTTGGGGTGTCAGGGGTAAATGAAAATGGGGAGCCTTTAATTGAGCTATGTGTAGAAAGAGATTTGGTAATAAGTAATATATATTTTATGAAAAAGAGGATAAATAAATATAAAAGGTATGACATAGCATGTAATGAAAGTAGCTTATTAGATTATGTATTGGTGTATAAAAAGTTGATGGGTAGGCTCCAGGATGTACACATTTACAGAGGGGCAACTGATATATCGGATCATCATTTAGTTGTAGTTACAGTTAGAGTAAGAGGTAGATGGGACAAGAGGAAAATGACAACAACAAGCAAGAGAGAGGTGAAAGTGTATAAACTAAGGGAGGAAGAAGTTCGGGTGAGATATAAGCAACTATTGGCAGAAAGGTGGGCTAGTGCAAGTATGTGTAGTGGGGGGGGGTTGAAGAGGGTTAGAATAGTTTTAAAAATGCAGTACATATTAGAATGTGGGGCAGAAGTTTGTGGTTATAGGAGGGTAGGTGCAGGAGGAAAGTAGAATGATTGGTAGAATGATGAAGTAAAGGGTGTGATAAAAGAAAAAAAGGTAGCGTATGAGAGGTTTTCACAAAGCAGAAGTGTTATAAGAAGAACAGAGTATATGGAGAGTAAAAGAAAGGTGAAGAGAGTGGTGAGGGAGTGCAAAAGGAAAGCAGATGATAGAGTGGGAGAGGCAATGTCAAGAAAGTTAGAGGAAAATAAGAAAAAAATTTGGAGTGAGATAAACAAGTTAAGAAAGCCTAGGGAATGAATGGATTTTTCAGTTAAAAACAGAGTAGGAGAGTTAGTAGATGAGGAGCTGGACATATTAGGTAGATGGCAGGAATATTTTGAGGAACTTTTAAATGTCGATGAAGGGAGAGGGTAATTTCATGCACTGGCCAGGGAGGTATCACATCTTTTAGGAGTGAAGACGAGCAGGATGCGAGTGTGGGGGAGGTGCATGAGGAATTACAGAGAATGAAAGGGGGGTAAAGCAGCTGGAACTGACAGGATCATGACAGAAATGTTAAAAGCAGGAGGGGGGATATATTGTTGGAGTGGTTGGTATTTTTTGTTTAATAAATGTATGAAAGAGGAGAAGGTTCCTAGGGATTGGCAGAGAGCATGTATAGTTCCTTTATATAAAGGGAAGAGAGACAAAAGAGATTGTAAATATTATAGGGGAATAAGGGTGTGATAAAAAAGAAAAAGGTAGCTTATGAGAGGTTTTTACAAAGCAGAAGTGTTATAAGAAGAGCAGAGTATATGGAGAGTAAAAGAAAGGTAAAGAGAGTGGTGAGAGAGTGCAAAAGGAGAGCAGATGATAGAGTGGGAGAGGCACTGTCAAGAAATTTTAATGAAAATAAGAAAAAATTTTGGAGTGAGTTAAACAAGTTAAGAAAGCCTAGGGAAAGTATGGATTTGTCAGTTAAAAACAGAGTAGGGGAGTTAGTAGATGGGGAGATGGAGGTATTAGGTAGATGGCGAGAATATTTTGAGGAACTTTTAAATGTTAAGGAAGAAACAGAGGCAGTAATTTCATGCACTGGTCAGGGAGGTATACCATACATAAAATGAAAGGGGGTAAAGCACCTGGAACTGATGGGATCATGACAGAAATGTTAAAAGCAGGGGGGGGATATAGTGTTGGAGTGGTTGGTACTTTTGTTTAATAAATGTATGAAAGAGGGGAAGGTACCTAGGGATTGGCAGAGAGCATGTATAGTCCCTTTATATAAAGGGAAAGGGGACAAAAGAGACTGCAAAAATTATAGAGGAATAAGTTTACTGAGTATACCAGGAAAAGTGTACGGTAGGGTTATAACTGAAAGAATTAGAGGTAAGACAGAATGTAGGATTGCGGATGAGCAAGGAGGTTTCAGATTGGGTAGGGGATGTGTAGATCAAGTGTTTACATTGAAGCATATATGTGAACAGTATTTAGATAAAGGTAGGGAAGTTTTTATTGCATTTATGGATTTAGAAAAGGCATATGAGAGAGTGGATAGAGGAGCAATGTGGCAGATGTTGCAAGTATATGGAATAGGTGGTAAGTTATTAAATGCTGTAAAGAGTTTTTATGAGGATAGTGAGGCTCAGGTTAGGGTGTGTAGAAGAGAGGGAGACTACTTCCCGGTAAAAGTAGGCCTCAGACAGGGATGTGTAATGTCACTATGGTTGTTTAATATATTTATAGATGGGGTTGTAAAGGAAGTAAATGCTAGGGTGTTCGGGAGAGGGGTGGAATTAATATTTGGGGAATCAAATTCAAAATGGGAATTGACACAGTTACTTTTTGCTGATGATACTGTGCTTATGGGAGATTCTAAAGAAAAATTGCAAAGGTTAGTGGATGAGTTTGGGAGTGTGTGTAAAGGTAGAATGTTGAAAGTGAACATAGAAAAGAGTAAGGTGATGAGGGTGTCAAATGATTTAGATAAAGAAAAATTGGATATCAAATTGGGGAGGAGGAGTATGGAAGAAGTGAATGTTTTCAGATACTTGGGAGTTGACGTGTCAGCGGATGGATTTATGAAGGATGAGGTTAATCATAGAATTGATGAGGGAAAAAAGGTGAGTGGTGCGTTGAGGTATATGTGGAGTCAAAAAACGTTATCTATGGAGGCAAAGAAGGGAATCTATGAAAGTATAGTAGTACCAACACTCTTATATGGGTGTGAAGCTTGGGTGGTAAATGCAGCAGCGAGGAGACGGTTGGAGGCAGTGGAGATGTCCTTTTAAGGGCAATGTGTGGTGTAAATATTATGCAGAAAATTCGGAGTGTGGAAATTAGGAAAAGGTGTGGAGTTAATAAAAGTATTAGTCAGAGGGCAGAAGAGGGGTTGTTGAGGTGGTTTGGTCATTTAGAGAGAATGGATCAAAGTAGAATGACATGGAAAGCATATAAATCTATAGGGGAAGGAAGGCGGGGTAGGGGTCATCCTCGAAAGGGTTGGAAGGAAGGGGTAAGGGAGGTTTTGTGGGCAAGGGGCTTGGACTTCCAGCAAGCGTGCGTGAGCGTGTTAGATAGGAGTGAATGGAGACGAATGGTACTTGGGACCTGACGATCTGTTGGAGTGTGAGCAGGGTAATATTTAGTGAAGGGATTCAGGGAAACCGGTTATTTTCATATAGTCGGACTTGAGTCCTGGAAATGGGAAGTACAATGCCTGCACTTTAAAGGAGGGGTTTGGGATATTGGAAGTCTGGAGGGATATGTTGTGTATCTTCATATGTGTATGCTTCTAAACTGTTGTATTCTGAGCACCTCTGCAAAAACAGTGATAATGTGCAAGTGTGGTGAAAGTGTTGAAAGATGATGAAAGTATTTTCTTTTTGGGGATTTTCTTTCTTTTTTGGGTCACCCTGCCTCGGTGGGAGACGGCCGACTTGTTGAAAAAAAAAAAAAAAAAAAAAAAGTTTGGAGTGTTCTAGGTAGTAGGCTGGTAAACAGCAACCGCCCAGGGAGGTACTACCGTCCTGCCAAGTGAGTGTACAACGAAAGCCTGTAATTGTTTTACATGATGGTAGGATTGCTGGTGTCTTTTGTCTGTCTCATAAACATGCAAGATTTCAGGTATGTCTTGCTACTTCTACTTGCATTTAGGTCACACTACACATACATGTACAAGCATATATATACACACACACACCCCTCTGGGTTTTCTTCTATTTTCTTTCTAGTTCTTGTTCTTGTTTATTTCCTCTTACCTCCATGGGGAAGTGGAACAGAATTCTTCCTCCATAAGCCATGCGTGTTGTAAGAGGCGACTAAAATGCCGGGAGCAAGGGGCTAGTAACCCCTTCTCCTGTATATATTAATAAATTTAAAAAGAGAAACTTCAGTTTTTTCTTTTGGCCCACCCCACCTCAGTGGGATACGGCTGGTACGTTGAAAGAAGAAAAGTTTAGAGTATGAGCAGGGTAATATTTAGTGAAGGGATTCAGGGAAATTGGTTATTTTTATATAGCCAGACTTGAATACTGGAAATGGGAAGTACAATGCCTGCACTTTAACCCTTTCAGGGTCGCCAGGCCCTCTCCCAGACTTGTTCTCAGGGTCGCCAAATTTAAAAAAAAAAAAAAAAATTATTTTTTCTTGTGAAAAGATAGAGAA